TCCCGCCGTGCCGCGGTGCGGAAGTCGGGGCGCGTTGGCGCGCGCGCCAGCTCCGTGGGCTCCGCCGTGCCCGCACCGCGGGACAGCAGGCCCGGGAGCTCCATGGAGAAGTCGCTCTTTCTGGGCCTGCTGCGACTCTGAACGCGCGGCTGGCAGTGCGCAGGGCTCGACTGCCCGGGCCAGATAGCGCCTCGGGGCTAGCCTCGGAGGCTTTATCTCTCGGACCCTCCTCGCCTTGGCAGCCACCCTGGGGTGAGGCTGTCCGCGCCGACCGATCACCACCGGGGGCGGACGGGCCGGAGGGCCGGAGGGTGGTGGCCGTGCGCTCGGGGATGCGGGCCTGGGGCTGGCCAGAAGCGAAAGCGGCGGATGTCGCTGGGCATCGCCGCCCTCGCCCCACCTGTCGCGGGTGGACTTTAGGGCGGGTGGACTTTAGGGTGGGTGGACTTTGGCGAGGGTGGGAAGCGTTGGAAAGAGGGGTTCGTGGCAGGCGGCGGTCCGATCTTTTGAGTAGCGGGCCCCATTGTGAAGCTGCCAAACTCTAGTGGTGGAATCCGCACATCTCCTGCCAGAAAGGAGATGATCAGACTAAGGTGGTCCGTCCTTTACCCCTTGCAAGTGTTCTACATTCTCAAGGATCACTGTTTCTCCTCCTAGAAGGGAGGGTTAATGATTTGTGCTGGGATGAGGTAGGTGTGTATATGTGTCTGTGTGTGTGCGCGCGCGCGTGCGCGCGCGTGTGCACTCGTAGATGTGTGCCTGGCTGGGCTGCATAGGTAAAACAAGAGCTGGAACTTTTTAATCAGAGGAGGAAGAATGGAGGCACTAGCATTTTATAGTGTGCTTGCCACTCCTTGCCGAAAGGACAATTCTTGCACAATTGTACAACTGTTACGATTGTACAAAACTTCGTTTTACATTTTTTTTTGTCTAGAAAAGCAACTCTATTATTTAGGTTTTATAGTTGCTTTACTTTGTTCTGTTTTCATGGAGCAGATAGACACTGGGGGATAGAAATGTCTGCTTCCCAAAGTTGATTTTCCCAGTTATTTTAAAATACAGTCTGGTTATTATTGCTGAGGCTCGAGGTACTTTTTGAATTCAAGGACAGGATTTATGCTTAATATTATTGCATGAGTGTTTGACAGATTCTTGTTTTCTTTTTTTATTATGTAATGATGTATTTTGTAAACTTCAAAATAAATAGGGTGGAATGTAAGAGTTAATGAGCATGAGATCTCCTAATTTGATGAGAACTGGTGTACAAGGTGGTTTCCCCCATTATTTATATTTATTTAATTGTAAATGATACTGTTAATAAAACTATCCCAGGGTATGAGATTCATTTATTGACTTAACTCAATGAATTCACATCTTTTCATATTCTTTTGAGGAGCTAATTTAAAAATATTTAGATATATTTAAAAGTGTATTTTAAAAATTGGCTTGGTGGGTGGCTGAAGATGCTTAGGAAGTGAATAGCAGGGGTCATAGTTGGAGGCCAACCAGGCAAAAATAATATTGTTGGGGACTCCATCTTGCCCAATGGTTGGACTAGGGTTTGGGTTTGTCAGCGCAGGGACTTGGAGAAGCACAAATAGGAAGAGAACAGTCTTGGCTTGCTTTTGTGTAAAGTGAGGCATTCTTCAGGAAAAAAATAAACAATACAAAAACTTTTGGAGGCACATGGCTCAAATGGTAGAGCACCTGTCTGGCAAACCTGTGGTCTTGAGTTCAGATGCCAGTATTGCTAGAATAGCAGCAGCAGCAGCAGCAGCATGCTGGAAATAGTAAAAGGTATAAACACAATTAAAAAAAAATTGTTTGCTGATCTGTAGCCCAGGGTGGTGATTGGTCTTCTCAAGAGATTAGGTGGATTTTTGTCCCCAATTTATCAAACTGGTACCAAGTTTTAAGTTTACCCATAGAAAGTTAGTCACAGCCTGCACACCTGCACTCTGGTCAGACTGCTTTCTTGTAAAAATTGCACATAAACTTTCAATTCCAGTTAGTGTCAGTAATATTTGCAGCAAGACAGTATTTTCTCCCAAGGTAGAAGGATGACTTCACATGGTAAGAAATATTTGTAACCTAGGTTTAAATTGTATTAGCAGAAGTAAAAAGAAAATCAATGTTAAGAGTTTTTAAAGGGGTTGCTATTAAAAGAGCTGAACCTAGAAAGAACATCACGATTTTGTCTTTCTGAACCAATTATGAATTGTTTTACCATGCTGGTGAAGTTAATGGTTTGTAAGGGCAATGTTTTTAAAAAGTCATATCCTATTTAGCATTTTTCAAAACTATTGACAATTTAATTTCACATATTTCAAAAATTAAGGATATTTTGAAAGGTAACTCTGAAGTGATCATGTAGGAATAGCCAAGCATTTTCTCCATGTAGTGTGTTGTGCTTTGGGGAATAGATCACTTTATTTCTGTGCAGTGTTTTATTACTTGGGAGAGGTCCATTTTGCTTTTACTTGTTTTTAGAGTAGCATTTGACTAGTGATTACAAAACATTTTCACTACTCTGAAAGGACTTGTAAATGTTTTTTTCTATTTTTTCCAGGTGCTTTATTTTTGGTCATTATTGATTTCTTTTAAATTAGCTACTCTGAAAAATACTACAGGCTTTTTTAAAATCTGTTTTTCTTTTCTAAGTTTTGGGAGTAAGAATTAGAACATTACTCCCTTACTAAATTCATTTGCCTAAAAGGGACTTTGCTTTTCTTAGTACAATCATAAATACTTAAATTGTATTTATTTACTAAAGACTCAGAAAGGCTTTCATATTTACAAGATGTGATTTTTCAGCTATACTGTTTACTATTTTTTTCTTGTTATTTTGTTAGTGGATCTGTACAGATGCCTGAGATTTATGGATTTGTAGGGATGGATTTTGTATAGACCTGAACATTTTTTTCCCCTTTAGAGATTTTTCTATTTGGGGGAAAGGCACTCATTTTTTTCTGGGTTCCTGGTGTCTTGTGAGTTTACATGTATGAAATTGTGCATTTCCATGTCCATGTGTCTTCTCTTCCATATTGGACTGAGTCTTCTTTACCTTTTTCCCAGTGCCTTTGCAGTACTGAGATGTTAATAAGAGAGATTCAAGAATACCATTGTATGAATGTGAGGAACTGAATGGCTATGTGGATATAGACAAAAGTTTTCCTCAGATATCTTTGCAATGCCATTATTAAAAAAATCCATGGCTTTCCCATTGTTATATATTACTTCTGAGTACAATAAGAATATAATTGCCATGTTGGGGCAGTGTAAATCATTATTACATGATATTGCCTATGAACTGAGACATACTTTTGAAACCCTTTCTTCTTTACCTGTGACAGTACACATCATGTTACCTGGGAGTTTGAAACACCTGGTAGTTAATGTTTGTGAACTTTTCTATTTGTACAGGTTCTTTTGCACTTAGTTGTTGGGTGTGTTTTGCTTAGTCACCTGTGGCTACTCTACCCTGTGGACAGGATAAGGAAGCTGTGGACAGCTCTTGGTCTTGTTTAAGTTTTCCTGTTCTCATTGTTTACAGGGTACAGTCATTGGCTTTTGTTTGTTTCAGCTTCTTAGAGCTGGAAACATTGTAACCTATAGCGAGGATTCTATTTATTTCAGTTGTTTCTATGTATACTCTAAGAATTTCAAATGAGTCTGTCTTGTGGACCACTCAGGAAACAGTGTTCATTGATATCCTTCCCAGGCTTCATGCCGGAGAAGGCCACCATTAATTACAAATGTTAAAGATTTTTGAAGTATTCTGAAAGTGAAACATTTTATTTGAAATTTATTTGAATTTATTCTGGGGGAGTTTTAGATTACAAACTTCGAATTGCTATTTATGGGAGATGGAAACCAAAACCTTTATTACATTTCATAGTAGATTCCTTGAGAGGTGATCACCATCCAGCTTCTGCAGGGATGGTAAGTACTCAGTCACATACAAACCACAAGCAACCTCAGAATTGAGTGAAGAGCAGTAATAGGAGGAAGCTCCTGCACCTTAGTTTCGCCCTTGCTGGCTTCCCTTGGACTTTGTTTAGATTCTATTTTGGACTTGGCATTGACCGAATGCATAATCAGTCACTGCACTTTGTTTACTATGAAATTACCACCATTTCCTGGACTTGTTCATCAGCTCCAATGCCGGAACTGGATAATTACTTTAAAGCTCCCCTGCTTTCAAATCTATGCTGAGTTTTTAAGTTGATTTCTTGATTTTGGTGTTGGAAAAAAGGTGTTTTAAAACGTAAATATTTCCCCAATGTATTTAAAAGCTTGAAAAGAATATATTCCCAAATACTTGAGACAAACTATATGAAAATATTAAAATCAAATATAAAATATTTGATTGAAAATATCTTTATTGATGGGCTGGGAAGGTGGCTCAGTGGTAGAGCACTTGCCTTGCAAGCATGAGGCCCTGGGTTCGATTTCTCAGCACCACATAAGCAAAAAGAAAAAAGCCGGAAGTGGTGCTGTGGCTCAAGTGGTAGAGTGCTAGCCTTGAGCTGAAGAGCTAAGGGACAGCGCCCAGGCCTAGAGTTCAGGCCCCACTACTGGACCCAAAATAAATTAAAAAAAAAAAGAAAATATCTTTATTGAGGATTACGACATCAAGATTTTTCTCATGTTCCTTCTTGATTCCCAGTCATGGTTGTAAGAGTCTCAGTCAAATCTGTTGTGTATTATTGTGATTGATGTAGCCTTGAAAAATAAAGTTAGATACCTATCTGTATTTGTTATCCAAATGAATAGACAAATGAATAGCCAGCAAGAACTGAGTGACATATTTTTTTTCTGCTTTAAAATTTGTGATAAAAAAAAAAGTTTGGAAATGCCTACAAGAAAGAATCTATTATTTAGAATGGTTTTGTAGCAGATATTCCCCTAGGTACACTGAAATCTTGTATTTTTGAAGCTGGAAATTTAAAGCCAGTAATAAAACATGCCACCCCCCTCAATGTTTCACGAATGAGAAAATAAAGCTTTTAGATAAAGTGCATCCTCTTAAACATTTAAATAATATTCCATTTACAGAAATTGATTAATATACATTTTTTTAAAGGAGAGGATGATTAGGTACAAGGCTTACCACTGAATAGTGGCCACACGAATGTAAAGATGTCATTTGGAGTTCTCCCTCCTACCCAGATTCTCAGTTGGTCTTATTGGATTGAATTCTTTCAAGTTAGGCCAATAATATTTTCCTTGTGGAGTAAAAATTAAATGATATAATTACATGCGGCTTGTTACACAGAAGATTCCCCCAAATTAGATAGTTTTTAATCCCATTCCCCATTAAAATCTATTTACTTTAAGATAGTAATATGAACTAACAGTAATAGTGGGGCAATTCTTTAGGGAAATTATGTGAAATAAACAAGTTATTAGAAAACAATTTTTGTTACATTAGTTTATATTAAAATCAGAAGCTTCATTAGTGATGTGGAAACAACTTTTAATTATCTAGATTTCTTGGTTTATTCAGTTTTAACAGTAGTTAATGATAAAATATATGAAATGGAACATGTCTGTTATCCATGTACTAAAACTTGCCAAAAGCTGAAGAACATGATAACCTCTTGGAATGACAATTTTGGTGCATTAGCTCCTCTAGTTGCTCAAGCTGAGGAAGCAAAAACCTTTCTTTCAGCAAATTACCCAGTTTTGGGGGGTTCAAAATCCTTTGTGCTGGTTAGAGGTATAAAGTAACAGAGCCCTGTCTTTCCCCTCACTACTTGTCTTCAGTTTGGGGCATGATGTACAGGATGCCTGCTTCAGGCTCTGCCCCTCTGTAAGTAGGATATGCCCATTTTGCTTGTCTACTCATTCTCCTTCTGTTGAACACAACAACAGGATCTTCAACAACTAAGGAAACTTTTACCCGTGGAAAAAGGCTTTGGGGAGTTTTCTTGGTCTCAACAAATTAACCCAATTAACTGAGGAGGTAGGAGATAAAGATAGATTCTCTTACACATTAATTCCCCCTGGCACAGAGGAGATGCTAGAAATCATAAGCAAGGTGACATCCAGAAAGAAGTAAAAAGAATGTTCTGGGTTTTTTCAAAAACATTTTCCAATAGCCCTCTAATCATTTTGTCCCACAGCAGTCTTATGAGAGTATTTTTTTTCCATTGCTATTTTATGGCTCAAAGAGTAGACACCAGGAATCAATTGTATAATAATACTATCACACTTCTGTGAAATGCATTGCTTGCAGGACAGAATCACTTACCTTATGGCACTGGATCCACTAACAACTGTATTAGGGATAGATTGGTATGGCTGGCCTCATTTTAAAGATTACTCTTGCTTGGTCTTGGTGGCTCATGCCTGTAATCCTAGCTACTCAAGAGGCTGAGATCTGAAGATTGCGGTTCGAATTTAGCCTAGGCAGGAAAGTCCATGACACTTTTATCTCCAATTAACCACCAGAAAACTGGCCGTGGAGCTGTGACTCATGTGGTAGAGTGCTAGCCTTGCACAGAAGAGCTCAAGGAGAGTGTCAGGCCATGAGTTCAAGCCCCATGATGGACAAAATAAATACATAAAATAAAAATAAATTACTGTTAATGCCAGGTCAGGAGGCAGAGTTCTCAAGCCAGCCCAGAAAGAAGACCATTTGTCTTAACTCATGTTCTCCCCTGTGTATCAATGAGACAGGGATGGTAAAGTCAACACTTAAGCATCTAATTTTTCTTGTCTCCATGGTTAGCCTAATTAAATCCACGAGAATGAACAAGGTGCTAGAGGACTAATTTAGCTGAAAAAACTCAAAATTATTTTCTGTTGAAATAATCAATTATTGTGTACTATACAATCTGTACTTCTAGTTTCATTCTGTTTTGCAGATGGAATTGCTATAATGGCTTTATAATTTTTGCTACTTGGTAAATTACAGGTTTATTTTTGTATTTCATGTTTAGTATCAGAAAAAAATTATTATGCCTGTGCTCCCTTGGGACTCTTTGGAAATTGTACAGTGACATCTTCTGGGATTTTGTCTGGTAAGTTATAGTTTACATTTTCTGGTTGTTAATTGGGACATGAACATAATATCACACTATTTTAAGGATTGTATAAGTAGGTTAATGTGAATTGTATTATTGTAAATATGTATGGTTCAATTACAAAATTTTTAATGGGTAGAGCTGAAATGATAACGAGGGAATGCTAAAATTATTTCAAATGTTGGCACTTTGTATTTATTTTCCGTTTCTGAAATTCCTGTAATATAAAGGCAATCTCTTGGAAGAATTAAAAAATGTGGTTATTGGGAAAGTAATAGTATAAGTTTTATATTATGCACAAGAGTAGCTAATTTTCAAAATTAGTTGTATATCAGTTGACTGCAAGAGTGGCCCTCCTTCCATTACCACATTGTGACCTTTAGCATTTAAGAGTGTTCACTGTTCTTCTCCTTTGGCTGTCTTTCTTTTCAGTGTCATCCATGTAACTATGCAGGCACAGTTGTTTGTGTCACTCCAAGTCTTTCAACAGGAAGATTAATCATTATCTTCTTAAGACTTCAGCATTTATTATTTAGAGAGGTCAAATAATCCATGGAAAATTCAGTTTCTAAATAAGTGATTTCTTAATTAGTAGTCAGCAACAGAATAATTCAAAGACATGCTAAGTAGTGTTGTTCAGTAGATGAAGCTATTCTGTGAAAATGTGTTAAAAAAAAAAAAAGATCAGTCCTGGACCTGAGCTCTGTCCCTGAGCTTCTTTTGCTCAAGGATAGTACTCTACCATTTGAGCCACAGTGCCACTTCTGGCTTTTTCTGAGTGGTTTATTGGAGATAACCAATGCAACAGCGCTATACACAAGACAATATTTTGGAAACAATCTATACAGCTTTGGGGGAGCGGGTGGGGAGGAGTGAAAGGAGAAAATTGAGGGAGGGCTAACAAAGTTGACAAGAAATATACTCATTACCTTACTTATGTAACTGAAACCCCTCTGTACATCAACTTCACAAAAAAAATGTGTCAAAAATATTCTCACAGATTTTCCTGCCCATACTGGCTTCAGAACACCATCCTCAGATCTCAGCTTCCTGAGTAACTAAGATTACAGACATGAGCCACTGAAAATGCATTTCAAAATACTAAAAAAGGAAAACATTTGTAAATTTTCCAGTGGTGAGGAAAAGCAGAAGAAATCTGAAAATGCTAAGTACAAAAACAATTAGAAAATATTGTTAGGAATAATGTGACTGGGTCACTAGATCAGCCAACAAAAATAAAGGGGTTAGAAAGTACAGGAATATGGTGTGTGTGTATGTGTGTGTGTGTGTTTGTGTGTTTGTGTGTGTTACCATCACTCTTCTGTATGCATATGCATATATGTTTGTATATGGATGCATTTATGTTTTTATGTGTATATTTTAGTTACAGTGGCATTCTAGCATAGATACTAAAGGTAAAAATAGGGGCTGGGAAGGTTGCTCAGTGGTAGAGTGCTTGCCTTGTATTCATGAAGCCCTGGGCTCCATTCCACAGTACCACATAAGCAGAAAAAGCCAGAAGTGGTGCTGTGGCTCAAGTAATAGAGTGCTGGCCTTGAGCTGAAGAGCTGAGGGACAGCCCCAGGCCCAGAGTTCAGGCCCCATGACTGGCAAAAAAAAAAAGAAAAAAAAGGTAAAAATAAATTGCCTTGAGTGTGGTTATATTTGGGAGTTAATAAGTTACCAGTCATTGAAGATGGGACACAATTTGGATGACCCTTAAGATTCCTTCTGAAATGGGTGTCAGTGGTTCATGCTTCTAATCTTATCTATTAAGGAGATGGAGATCTAGAGAATCAGAGGTTTGAAGCCAATCCAGGAGAAAAGTCAGACTGTCTAACCAGCAAAAAGCTGGCCTAGAGCATGGCTCAAGTAGTATAGTGCTAGCTGAGCTAGCATAAGCTCTGAGTTCAAACTCTCGTACCAGTTAAAAAACTTAGGAAAAAGAGATTCCTTTTGACTCTGAGATCGCACAGTCCATAAATTTTAAGCAGTTTGGAAAATCATATAAAACTTGGACGAATGTGATAAATACTTCTCTTGTTTCTTAAAGTAAGTCATAGCTTACATATGGTAAAAATATGCTCAGATAAGGGGTGCAATTGGATTCCTTCTGCAGATGTATCCAGTTGTGTGATGGCCAAGACAGTCAATGTATATAACTCTCAATTTCCCTGTGTCTCTTTGTAGTCTGTTCCCTTTCTGCACCCCAGCTCTTAGCAATGAGTGGTTTCTGACCCAAACTTGTGCATTTTTAAGAACATCACACAGATAGAATTATATTGTACATAGCATTTTCTACCTCCATATTTAATTTGGTGCACCTCTAGTTTGTACTTCTTCTTTGGGGAGTGGTATTCTACTGTACAGCTCTCTTTCCCCAAGATAGATGTTTAGATTGTTTCTAGTTTGGGGGTAATTATGAATGACCTTGTTAAAAACACTCATATTCAGGTGTTTGTATAAAAATGTATTTTGACTTTCCTTGGGAAAAATACCCTGGTGTGGGGGTAGCTGGGCTGTTTAATAAGCATTTGTTCAATTTTTTTTCCAGTCCTGGGGCTTGAACTCAGGGCCTAGGCACTGTCCCTGAGCCTTTTTGTGTGCTCAAGACTAGCCCTTGGGGGCTGGGAAGGTGGCTGAGTGGTAGAGTGTTTGCCTTTCATACATGAGGCCCTGGGTTTGATTCCTCAGCACCACATACGCAAAAAGAAAAAAGCCAAAAATGGTGCTGTGGCTCAAGTGGTAGAGCGCTAGCCTTGAGCTGAAGAGCTGAGGAACAGCGCCCAAGCCCAGAGTTCAGGCCCCATGACTGGAGGCCCCCCCCCCCCCCAAAAAAAAGACTAGCCCTCTACCACTTGAGCCACAGCACCACTTCTAGATTTTTTGGTGGTTTATTGACATAAGAGTCTCACAGACTTTTCAGCCTAGATTAATTTCGAATCATGATCTTCAGATTTCAGCTTCTTGAGTAGCTAGGATTACAGGTATGAGCCACCAACACCCAGCTTCATTTCTTCAATTTTATAAGCAAGTTTCAAACTAATTTGCAAAGTAATTTAATAGAACCAAGTGCATATAGATGAGAAGGCTCAAATCTCATTCAGCACATTTTAATTTTATATACAGTTTTAATAACTTTAACAGGTATTTTCAGATCACAGTGGATTAGACACAGTATATTAGAAGGCTTTAGTGCTGCTGTTAGTGATTATAAGCAAGTAAAAATGTTTTTAGTCACCAAAGTGACTAAAAACAGAAGGACTTCAAAGAAGGTATGTTCTGCCTGGTAAATTCTCAAACCTCTATGTTGACTAGAGTCAACTGGTATTCCTTAAAAATTTCAGACCCCTCAGTTCCTCCTCAGTTCAATTAAGTCAGTCACAAATCTGAGGCCTGAAACACAGACACCAGTATTTTTTGAAACTTCGTGTATGATTTTCACTCCGAAGCCAAGTTAGGAACCACATGTTAGAATGACTGCATGATGGAAAGGGCACTGAGCATAGATCCAGGGGAACTGGGTTGTTAATGGACACTCAACAGCCTGCATGGCTCTGGGCAGGGCTCTGACTTCATGGATGCAGTATCCTCTCCTCTGTCACCACCAAGAACAAAGGAGGTTCCAGGTAGGTAAGCTCTAGGATGAGTCTGGCATTAAAACCAGGTGATTCTAGTCACTACAGTACTAATTATTAGCCATGCTTGTGAGACCCACATCTCTGTGTTCTATGTGGTTCATTTCAACTGCTTAGTTCATAGAATTTTGTGACTTGTCTGTTTTGTACATTGGAGATACTTATCTTCATTATGTTTTCATATAGGGTATTTCTAAGTACAGTAAAGCATGTGAAACAGCATTATTATTGGGGGGTGGGTGTTGGTGTGAATTTTTTTAGATAAATGTAAGTTTTAAAAAACATTCCCAAAATGCAACACTTTTCAAAAAGAATTGTTTGTTTAGCTATTATAAACAAAATTAGGTATTTTCAGAAATGATTTAAGAAGCTAGGTTTCTTTCTTTTCTTTCTTTTTCTTTCTCTCTCTCTCTCTCTTTTGGGTCCAAGGCTAGCGTTCTACCACTTGAGCCACAGCACCACTTCCGGCTTTTTTTTCTGCTTATGTGGTGCTGAGGAATCGAACCCAGGGCCTCATGCATGCAAGGCAAGCGCTCTACCATTGAGCCACCTTCCAAGGCCCTATTTTTTAAATTTTATTGTAGTACAGAGGGGTTACAGTTATATAAGGTACATTTCTTGTTGAACATTGTTACTCCATTGTTGTTTTCCCAATATCCTTTCCCTGTCCGAAGATGTAAAGTTCATTTCTGACATAGTGTTTTGTAAATATCATTGTTGCAGTGGGTCATCCTTTGTACTTCAGTATTTATTTCCCTTCACTTCCCCAAATCAGACAAATGTTATACAAGATGAAGGGTACCAGAATTGAAGACAGAGATTACCAGGGATAAACCAATGGAAAAAATGAAATAAGAAGAAAGAATTAGATACAGTACATCAAGGCAGCATCAAGGTTGACAACTGAAAAAAAGAGCTGTTGTTTCTATGTCTTGGAGTTAATTTCAATTAGCATCTTTTTTTTTGTAGTTGTTCATCATGGGGCTTGAACTCTGGGCTTGGGTGCTGTCCCTGCGCTAAAGAGCTCAAGGTGAGCGCTTTACTGCCTGAGGCACAGCACCACTTCTAGTTTTCTAGTGGTTTATTAGAGATAAGAGTCTCATGGACTTTCCTGCCTGGGCAAGCTTTGAACCTCAGATCTCAGCTTCCTGAGCAGCTAGGATTACAGGTGTAAGTCATCAGAGCCTGGCTTAGCATCATTTTTGTATGGTCATATGTACATAGCTCTTGAGCTCTTATGATTCTCTGCCAGTACTATCTTAGGCATATATTCATTATTACAAATGAGAGAAACCATAGGGCCTATGTTTCTTTGGGTCTGACTTACTTCTCTTGTGATTTTTTTTTTTTTTTTGCTTA